GGTAATTTCTTTTGACGTGAAAAAACTTCTCAGTAAGAGCAGATCCCAGTTGTTAAGTCTTTCAACTGTGACCCGTGTGATTTGATTTCTGTCCATGAACTCTTTGCCTACCCCTATGTCCTCAAGAGTTCCACCCACTTTCTCTTCCAGGAGATTTAGTGTCTCTGCTTTAATGTTTAGATCTTTAATCCATTTTGACTTTAGTTTAGTACATCAGCCCCTTTTATTTTGAAACAAGTTCTAAGCGGCCTAGTGTATCCTTGAACTTGAAAATGTTCCTGTCTCAGCCTCGCAAGCACCTGACGTTTTTGCTACTGTGAATGGCTCTTTCACCTTTGTCTGAAAAAGTCTACTGCCTCAAAATGAATGTTCCTGTAGGATACAGAAATTTATTTATTTATTCATTCGTTTATTTTTGTGGAACCGGGGATTGAACTCAGGCCCTTCGCTTGCCAGGGAAGCGCTTATTCTACTGAGCCATCTCCCTACCCCTGGATACAGAATTTTTAGTGTGCATATTTTTCTTTTAACACATTGCTTCAAATTTCTGGGTTACACAGTTTTAGATCTTTGTTCTTTGGCACATATTTCCTTCCTGTTGGCTGCTTTGAAATTTTTTCTTTGAATAACTGGCTTTTGGCTATTTTACATATGACTTGTTGTATTACTGGGTGTATGTTTATCCTGACTGGTGTTCACAGAACTCAAGTCTACAGCTTTACAGAAGTCATCATATCTGGACATGTTGGGGCCATTAATTCTTAAAGTATTTTGTCCTCCTTTATCCTCTGTTTTTGGAATACCAATTAGATACATGTCAGGTAGTCTCCCACCAGACACTGAAACTCATTTTTGTTTTTAATCTTTTCCCAATTTTTGTTTCATGATGTAGACTGAATAAAATCTGCCATAAGTTTATTCATCTATGTAGTATCTACTATTTTTTATTTCTATAAGTTACACTAGATTCTATTTAATAGCATCTATTTCTCTAATTCTGTGTTTGTGTATACTCTTGAAAAGTTCTTTTGATTTCTGTGTATATTAGCATGTTGGTTTTTGTCTTGTAATTTTTATTAGCTATTGTGGTTATTACACAGTTCAGTGTCTTTAATTATGTTGTCCACCCATAAAGATCATTGGTTATCTGGGCAAACACCTGCAATACCAGCCACTCAGGAGGCTAAGGAAAGAAGACTGCAAGTTCTAGGTCAGCCTGAGTAACTAATGGAGACTTGTCTCAAAATAAAAATTAAAATGGGTTAAGAATACAGTTCAGTAGAATATAAGCTAGCATTCTGCATGTATGAGACACTGTGTTCATCTTTTAATACTGCAAAAGCAAAACCCTGGGACTTCTTCAAATAAATAATATGTAGATCAGCCTGATTACTCCAAAGCCTCCTAATGTGTCTAGACTTCAGTCCACAGACAGTATAGACCTAACACTACGGAACAGTTTTTCTCTAGGGCTTCTCAAATTTCTTACCGATGTCTCCTTCACTTTATTGCAAGCTCTATTTGGGCTGCTCCTCCTGCTTCTGATGAGCAAAAGCTGCCACTAGATAAAAAGCTGTGGTAAACAAGGGCTCAGCACTTCTCTTTTTTAGGTATCATAGTTGACTAAGTTGTTTTTCACATATTGTGTCAAATATTCCATCTAGTTTTATAGAAGATTGTTTACTTCTCTTCTGTTTATTAATTTGATCAAATGTTGCATAAATGCTATGCACAAAATCGGCTATCCAAATTAAAAGTAAAGTAAGTGGAATAAAATCAATTATAACAAGAATGAGGATTAATACTTTTGCAAAGGGATTACTTACCTCTGACCACCACTAAGCTCAGTTAGGTTTTCTTTCCACGTATTTCCCAAGGCAACCTTGAACTCCAGACCATCCAAAACAGTTTGCCCCTCTGGTGGTGCAAGCATCGCGTTGGCACCAGGCAAAAGAGTAGAAAAAATAGACCCAAAATCTTTGTTCACCTACATAAAAATCACATTAAAACATGGGAATGTTTGCAAGAATAATCAATTATTGAAATACACACATGCAATTCAGCAGGTCCACTGCACTGCTTGTCATGTCCAGTCAAGAGCTGAATACAGCCTATGCAACAAATCCGGCCATGCCTAGCTATTTACAATTTTTCTATGGCTGCTACTGCTAAAACAGAGACTGCGAGTCTCACTAAATCAGAAATAAAATGGCCCTGTACGAAATTACTTTACTAAGCCCTACTATAACTCCCATGGAAAACTAGGAGGTTTCACTTCTATTTCTACCCGAAAGTTTTAATAATTTTGTAGAACATACCACAGGACTCAAGACAAGCACAATTATGTCACATGGAAGAAGAAAGCTATCAGAGAAGTAAACACAAAACAAACTTTTTTTTGGCAAAGTGTTGTCTTCTAAAGTTTATTTTTCAGTTGACTAATGGAGTAAAATGGGCCTATGGTCACTATCTAATTTCAAAAGCAGATCAAAATGAGGTTCACAAAAAAAGAGGCTGCATCAAAGGATGAGATCTGTTCAGTGTTCTAAACTCGTTTATAAAGCAAAAGAAGTAAGTCATTGAGGGCCACGTATCACACTGGATCCCAAGAGAAAAGGCTAAGGAAGCTGTTCAGCCTGTCCCTGCCCCTACCTTGCCACAGTATGAGACTATAAGGAATTAACAGACAAAATGCTACCTTGTAATATGGTAAATTTGTGTATACTCATCTGATCAATATTTGGCTATTAGTCTTGAAAGTCATGACTAGCAACTGAAGAGTTCAAATCTGAAAGGTACAACAGATACTCAGAAAGGGAAAGAAACTTCAAAGGGAAGAGACCTCTGGAATGTGGAAAAGAGAAAAGAAGGAAAAAGGAAACCTACATGTATATACACAGGACAGCTTGGATAACTGTACTGCATTTCTGCTGGTCTACTCAAAGGAGCAGTTAATGCTTAATTTTTTTCCTCTCTTCTTTTTATTTTTATTTTTTGTGTTTTTTGACCAATTTTGCATGCTTATATCTGATAATGTGAACAACTAAATTGAAGACAACATGCAATAGCAACCATTATTGAATTTTTATCACTTTGTTCAGTGAGATTCTGTATTATTTCTATTTTTTCTTTTTTTACTATTTTTCTTCTTTAAAAAATTTAAAAATAATTAAAAGAAAGAAAATAAAGTGGACACTCCCCACCCAACACACAACACACAAATACCTTTGAAGATTTGAACAAAAATCTCCATAATCAAGCTCAGGAAAGGAAAATTCACAAGCAAACACACGCTGGAAACCTAGAAAATCACTGGTTCTGAATACAGTCTTGCTAAGGAAACTCTATTTTATGAACATTTATTAACCTGCTGAGTAATATCCTACATAGTGGAAGAAGAGTCTAGTTTTTTCCTTCTGAAAATTTGGAAAGGCTCATTTCAAAATGCTAAAAGGAATACTATCTTTTGAGGAATAACTGAAAGTAATACAGTGTTTATAAACATCCTAGGTTCATTTTCTTTTCATCTTTTGGCCAGATGGTAGAGAAGGAACTCAGGACTATGACAGCAGAATGATACTAAACACTGAATACAACCACAGACTATGTGTACATCACTCCAAAGGAAAAAAAAAAATATTAGTAAGAATGCTGTTAAATATTTATGTAAGGGGGTTGGGAAGATAGCTCAGTGGCTTAAGCACCTGCCTGGCAAGCATGAGGTCCTGAGTTCAATCCCTCATGGGGGGGGGGGGGGAATATAAAGTAAATATTTATACAAGGGGCTGCAGAGAGGGCTCAGTAGAATAAGTACTTGCCTAGCAAGCGCAAGGGTCTGAGTTCAATACCTGGTTCTGCCAAAAAAAAAAAATTATGCACATTTATATAAATACACATTGTATCAATACATTGATTCAATAAATTTTGTAAATTTGATAAGGATCAAAAAGAAAAAAGCAAAACAAAAAATACCTAAAATACCCAGAGGTTTATAAATAAAGTAGGCTTAATATCAGAGGGATGTGCACTGTCCTGACAAAAATAGTATGCACCTCATGATAGTATCATAAGAAGATTAGACAATACTGACTGTTACAAGAGAACACTAAATGCTGTTTTACAAGAACCTGGAGAATTAGGAAAGAGCAGCATCACTTTAAAAAGCATAGATTCTGATTTACCGTGAATCTGGGAACCGTGGATGGTAATGGGTGGCAGATACAAGTTCTCCTACAGTCAATTTTACAAAGTGTAAAAAAAAAAAAAAAAAGAAAGAAAAAGAAAACATCAACATTTGCATGCCTTTTAAAAAAAGGCAAATACTGTAAGGAGTGGAAAATTAAGGCTACTAAAATAATTTTGCTAATATTACTAAAAAAAAAAAAAAAAGCTTCCTACAGAATTAAAGCAAAAAAGGCAAGCTACCCAACTGGTTTACTGAAAATATAGGTTTGCTGCAGAGTAACTTTGCTTGGAATATTTGGAATATGGATATGTTATTGTGCTCTAGAAATGGAGAAATTTCTGCATGAAAGACTAAGGAGTGATTCTAAAAGAGATTATGTGAAGGCATGGAGACAGAAGTAACTGAAGAAGCTTGATTTTTGTTGAATAAAAGTGCTATACAAGTGAACACTAAGCTTATTTATTTCCCTATTTTAAAAAAAGATAGAGGGAAAAGTTACTAGCAAGAATAATTTTTAACTTTGGTTTCATGTAGCAAAAGAGAAGTCCAGCTCTTCCATCTTTCAGTTATGTTATATGAAGCAGAATACTTCATCTTTCTGAGTTTAGGTTTGCTCATGTAAAAAATAGATGTAATAGCTACAGAAGGCTATTACAAAATATGCGGAGTCTCCTGCCTGCGTAACACTCCCTTCCAGCCATCTCTCTCTGCCGCGCTGTGACAGCAGATGCATGTGTGTGGTTCTCTTGTGCAGAAGCCCATCGTACAGTTGCCAGAGTCTCTAGTATGTGCTCTCCTCAGCGGGGCACAGGATTTTTAAAAGATAACTAATGTAATTAACAGGGTACTTAAAATGTTAATATTAATCTAACCTGTGTAAAATGTATTACTAAGAATATGTAGAATAAAATATTTGTGAATTCTGGAAGATAATGGACAACTTGTGAGTGATGAAGGGTATGTTAATCTTGCTAGAGAATGAGAATGACATCAGCAAGGTAGTTCACTATAGGTGCCATGCGTGTTTCTTTCCACAATGAAAGAATAAAACAAACCAACTTCAATTTCAGAGGTGTGACTGAAGCAGCGTGCCCCACTGAGGTGAGCACATAGCAGAGACACTGGCAGCCGCACGATGGGAACCAAGCACACACATGCATCTGCTGTCACGACGTGGCAGAGGCAGCTGGCTGGAAGGGAGTGTTACCCAGGCAGGAGACTGCGCAGTCCCTGCTTACACCTTGGGCACCTGGAGAATTTGCAGTTGGACAAGTCATAAGCCCAGTTTGGAGGGCTGTCCGTCACCACATTACTGTACTGCCTGGAGAAGGAGGGTTGGAATAGGGTTTATCTATCTTCAGAAAACATTAGCTAAGAAATTTTCAGATCTTCAAAAACATTCTTATCCAGATTTTCAGAGGCTCAAAGAACTCTGGATCGATTTAAAAAAGAGACTTTCGCCAAAGCATGTTATGCCAAAAAATCAAACATGACACAAAATTAAGCAAAGTCTCAAGTTACATACAAAAATTGAGGGAATTCATCACCAATAGACCAGTACTTTAAGAAATAAGGGCTGGCCAAATAGCTCAGCAGATTAAAGTGCCTGCAGGGGCCGGGGTTTGATCCCTGGACCTGCTATGCCGGCCCCCTCAGGGTGCACTGAGACAGCCACTGAAACTGGGCGTGGTGGTGCGCGCCTGTAATCCCACATCTTGGGAGGCTGTAAACAGGTGGATCACTACAAGTCTGATCTAGTACTGAGACCCTGAACACCCTGTAGACCATATATATATATAGACAGACAGACAGACAGACAGACAGACAGACAGATAGATAGAGGAAGTCCTAGGTTGGAAACATAAAAGATGATACCACCGTGAAAACACTTGCACATACAAAATTCTTTAGAAAAATACACACATGCAAGTGAATGAGAAAAGAATCTTTAGCACTACAGAAAACACAAAATCCCAACAACAAATGATGAAAGACACAGAAAGTAAAAAAAACAAAAACAAAAACAAATAGAATACAACTAACAAAATTACAAGAGGACATCTATACTGAAAAAGTAATATTGAATGTAAAGATTAAGTTCACCAATCAAAAGATGCACATTTTCTGAGTAGACTAAAAAATTGAAGGGCCAAATACACAGTGTCTATAAGGAATTCATTTCATTGGTGAAGACACAGATTAAAAGTGACCTGTCAGTGAAAGGTGCTCACTGCAAATGGAAACCAAGGACAAGCACAAGCAGTATACTCTTATCAGAGGAAGCTGATTTTAAATCAAAAACTGTAAAATAAATAGGTAATGGTTGTCAATTTAGCAAGAAAATATAACAATTGAAAAATATACACACCCAACAGAGGACCACAGATCATCCAGGCAGAAAATCAACAACACAATTGAGTTGAACCGTACTACAAAGCAAACTGACCTAAGTCTTTTATAGAGTATTTCAATCAATAGCAGATTTTCTTCTTATTGATACACAGACTATTTTCCAGGATGGATCATATCTTAGGCCACAAATCAAGTACTAATAAATAAATGTTTTAAAAGATTCTGAATAGCCAAAGCAATCCTGGGTAAAAATAATAAAGTTGGATGAATTATAGTATCTGACTTTGAAATGCATTGCAAAGTTCTAACCAAAACAGAATGGTACTGATATTAAAAATAAAAAAAAAAAAAAGATACAGACAAGTGAAACAGAATAAAAACCCTAGAAATAAACTCATATATCTACAGCTGATTTGCAACAAAAATGCCCAAAACAGACAATGGAGAAAGGATAGCTCCTTTAATAAATGGTGCTGGAAAAACTAGGTATTTATATGAATAAGATCCCTACTTTTTATCATGTATAAAACTCAAATCAAAATGGATTAAAACATGCATGTTTAGGACCTGACACTATGCATCACTTGAAATAAACAGAAGTGTTGCCTTAGGACATTGGTCCAAGCAGATATTTTTTGGATATACCCTCAAAAACAGGAATTACGCAAAAACTGACAAATGGGGTTCCACAAAGCTAAATAGAGGACAACAGCACAGAGGACAACAGAGCAAAGAGGCAATTTACAGAAGAGAAAATATGTGCAGAGTATTCATCTGACAAGGAAAACATACTGAAAACAAACACTCAAGCAACTTAAAAGTGCAAATACAAATTATCCACTTAGAAAACTTTACAAATGAATTAGACATTTCTTAAAAGAAGATATACAGTCTAAAGGACCAAGAAAATCTTTTCAACATCACTATTCATCAGAAAAATGGACATCAAAGCTGCAGCGTAGTATCATCTCTACCCAGACAGATTATTATCAAAAAGCCAACAAATAAGATATTAGAAAGTACACAGAGAGCAGAATTCTCATTCACTGTTGGAAGGACTACAAATCAGTACAGCCATTATGAGAATCTAGAGGTTCCTCAAACACCAGAAACAGGACTACCAATCCATTAACTCTAGTACTGGGTATATACCCAAAAGAAATGAAAGCTTTTTGCTGAAAAAATACCAGCACTCATGTGTTTATGTAAGCATAATTCACAATCACCAAGTCATGAAATTCACTTAGGTGTCTACTGACAGGTTAAGGGATTAAGAAAATATGCTATATATACAGATACATGTATATATTTATATAGATATAGATGTATGTATATATACCTATAGATACACAATGAGATATTGTTCAGAAATGTAAACAGAATGAAGTTTTGAAATTTTTATCAATATGAATAGAACTAAAAGTTATGTTAAGTGAAATTATGTCAAGCATAAAAAGAGAAATACTGCATGGTTTTATTTTATTTGAAAGCTAAAACATTAAGTAGAATAGTTGTCACCAGAGCCTGGAAGAGTGTGTACAATGGGGGATGAGGCAGGCATGAGTCACAGTATAGAGGTGCAGCTGGACAGTAGGAGTAAAGTCTAAACTTCTATAACTTACAATATCTCTGGTTGAGCAAAATGAATTACTTCAAAAGAGCCAGTAGACGGCCAGCCAAATAGCTCAGTGGATTAAAGTGCTTGCAAGCAGGTACAGGAGCCAGGGCTTCCATCCCAGGGCCTGCCATGCCAGCCCTGCCCCCAGGGCGCACTGAGATGGCAATTGAGACTGTGCGTGGTGGTGCACGCCTGTAATCCCAGCTCTTGGGAGGCTGTAAACAGGTGGATCACTACGAGTCCAATCTAGTAGTGAGACCCTGAATACCCTGTAGACACTTCCCTAAAATAACCAAAAAAAAAAAAAAAAAAAAAAAAAAGCCAGTAGAGAGGATTTTGATGCCAGTGAGGCTAGTCTGATCATATACATAGTGTACAGGTACTAAAATGCTAGTGTGCTCCGTTAATACATATAATTACTATGTGTTGATTAAAAGTGAAGAGATATTTAAAAGAATCTTACTATAAAAGCATTTTGAGAAATAATACTTTACTCCCTAAGTCTGGGCAAGAAAAACTGAAGATGGTGAAATAAATGAGTTTGAAGAGCGTTTTTGATTCTCTGTAATTACAGCTGCCCCACGGAACCAATGCTGCTTACTTTCCAGAAGCAAGCAGAGGCCAGCTGCAGCTCAGCAGACCTTAAATAGAACCTAAGGCTTCCTTCAAATGTAAAAATCTATGATCTCATAAAAAGCAAAGAAAATAAAGAGCAATCCCTTTTATAGTAACATAGTACTGTGAAACCAGGAAAGAGTAAGAAATAGAGAAAACTAGAAAGTTAATACAACTCAAGAACCACAGGAGTAATCTGAGTCTGACTTATCTTTGCAAATCCAACAGTAGATAAATTGAAGAGAAAATGCATTTAAAAGTATATGAGGTTTTAATAAGCAAGATGTGAGTATATGCCTCATTTAAGCACATAGTAACCATATCAGATTTCGGGTATAAGTTCACTGATAAAAACATTCACCTTTACCTCCTACATAATTAAAGGGTAATATTTTGGAGTTGAAATACCTTTTGCCAGGCAATATTTAGGGCTTGGTTTTTCTTCTGGTCAAGGTCTTCTATAGTTGCAAGGATTTTAGATTTATCATTTTCTACAATTCTCTTCTTCTTCATCAAGTCATTATACTGCAAGATACACAAATGTATTAAACATAAAATTTCCTCTATGTCCTGGATTTCAATCTGAAAGAGGTGTTGTTATTGAACAAAAGAATACAGTGCACCAAGAGTTACAATGCAAAGCAAATGAGGAGGAATACATGTACAGAATAAAATTAAACTACAGTAGTACTTTGTTACTCATCACTTGGTTCCAGGAGGCATGACAAGTACTAAACAAATTATTTTGGCTGTGAAAGGGTGACCTGTCACAAGGCCACTGACACCAACAAATTGTGGCTTGTTTATTGAGTACTAGGACAAAGGACAACAACCAGGACAAAATTTTGATGTAAAACTTCATCAAGTACCTAAATTCTTTGAATTTCAAAGTACTTGACTACTAGTATATGACTAAACTGGAGCTGGAGTCTATTGGAAAGAACTTAATAGTTTGACTAACCTAACATCCCTTATCTTCACAGTAGTCAAGGTAAAAAAGGAAAATATGTCATATGTAAGTTGAAGGGAAAGGAACCCCAAAGGCTCTCTTCTTAAGCTCAGTTTCATCAGTGCCATGAAGAAAATGTCAACTTTTCATTACGAATGACATGCATGTCCTAAGTTAGCCCTTATTTATCTCTTTTTTATGACATCAGAATCTTTCGTGGGTGTACGACCTTTCTGAGCTCCTTGAATTCAGTTTCATATCCCTGGCATTGTTCTCTCTTCTCTGAATACTCTTCCCCTGTATCTGTCTAACTGGTGAAATGAGTTGCAGGTAAGGCAGCATCTCCTCAGAATGGCTTTCTTTGTGGGGAACGACAGCAGGACACGCTTAACCATAATCAAGCTAAAGATGGAATTTTTTTACATTTTTTAATTTTAAAGGCATTAAAATATTAAAAATGATATAGAATTTCAAAACAAGATATAGGAAGCTAACAATGGTTATACTGCACATTGTTACCTGTAAAGTAGTTGCTTAGATTTCTAGGTATAAGGACATAAATTGATCAAACAATATAAGCACTGTTCCTTTCAATGAACTAACAGAAATTAGTAGAGGTGGAATTTTTAAAAATTCTTCTAAATTTATTTCTCTTCACAGTCTCACACATTTCAAGGCTGCTTAACAGTCTCAAGTAACTCTAGTTAGTCCTGCTATCTGCCCTGTGGGATCTCTAATTTATGACAAACGTACACCATCCTTCTCATATTTTTAACTTATTTTTTTACATAAATACATGTAATTTCTTATGTGAACAGGCACAACACACAGACACACAGACACACACACACACACACACACACACACACACACAAAGGGTATCTGATAAACACTATAGCCTTTTCTGGTAAAGTCAATGAGTTTAAAAAAAAAGACCTTGTTATCATTACCTAATAAAAGTAAACAAGTTTCACAATGTTATACAGCTTAAATTCAGATCAAAGATTTCCTGCCCAAAATATCCCATACACCACAAAATTTAAAGGCAGAAAGAAAACCAAAAGGAACATTTTACAGCAACCACAACACTTGAACTATCAGGTTGTTCAGTATCCAACAAAATATAGATTCTCTTTTGCAAATAGCTTTCAATTTTTTATTAGTATATATTTGTGGTACATAAAGATTACATTCTTGGTGGGGAGCTGGTACATGTATATGTTATCTTAACTATGTTTTTAATCCCTTCTCCCCACTCCCATATCTTCTTCCCCTTTCCTTCTGCAAAAGATCGGTATCAGTTTCTCATTATTTTTTATTTCCTTTTTAATTTATTTGTAGCCTAGGTTTCTCATATAAGAGAAACCATGCAATATTTAAGCTTGTGTGTCTGATTTATTTTATTTAACATTATGGTTGTACATATTAATGCCAGCAGGTTTTTAAAAATTCTACTATAACAAAACTTGTTAAATGCAACTGGGCTGCAACTGGGCTCAAGAGTATTAACAGTTTTGTGGAGCTCTCATTAATTCTAATATGTAAATTCAAACAAAATTTTGTAGAATTAAAGCATGAGAAGCAGGGCCAGGGAGAGAGCAAGGTCTTGATTCCCGGTACCAAAAAAAGTAGGAGAAGCATTAATATAAAATCACTGATTGCCTTTAGCCATGGAACCCCAGAGTTGAGACTGCTGCCCTTGATGGTGTTTTCTAGGGCAAATCTTCCTAAGGTCTTCAGTGGATGACACTGAAAACCTTGTCTTAGACTGAAGAGCTCTGTCATCAGAGGAGAGATGACATTATAGAGTAATTGAGAACACTAGGACCAAGAAGTTGCTGCCACAAAAATGGAACAGTGCTCATGACTCACACAATGGTTTCAATTTACTCCAGAATAGTAGTCCCCAACCTTTTTGGCATTAGGGACCAGTTTTTCCATAGATGGGGGTGGTGCTTTTGGGATGGTTCAAAGAAGCAAGTTGTACTGATCCCTTGTGCACACAGTTCACAGCAGGGTTCACACTGCCCTCAAAATCAAGTCATTGTTCAGTCTGACGGCAGCTGGAGCTCAGGCAGAAGTGCGGGCAATAGGGGTGGTTATAAATACAGGTGAAGTTGTATCCTTCCTGGCTTGGGCCCAGCAGCCACAGACTGAGTGCTCCATAACCTAGGGGCTGGTGGCCTTGCTTTACAGGCACATGGAAACAGCAGTTTGAATCCAGTTTAGGCAACTTAGTAAGACCATGTTCTCATGATCTGTATTGGAAATGGACTTACCCGCTCTTCAGCTTCTGTCAGCACACTCATAGCTCGCATGTTGACATTCCTTCCCAGTTTCTCCTTCATCTCTTGCAACTTCTGAAGTCGCTGGCCAGCTTCTTTGGGGTTGTTAGTTTTGAAATCATAGGCACTATTGGGCTGGCCAAAGAGATGCTTCTCTGCATTAATCCAGTCATAATCTTTTAACATTTTGGTTACCTAGTTACATACAAAAACAAAAGAATGTGTGTTAACGAAATTTCTAAATCCAAACCAGTTTCTTAAATATTTGTTAAGTCACATATCTGGGGGAAAAAATACCAGAAACAATAACAAGTACTTTTGCTTTAAGGACAAGCTCAAGGAACAAGAGACTAAGAAAAAGATCCTTTCTATTATTTATGTATTCAAAGAGGAGCTAAGCCATTACAAGCAGATAAATACCCTTACCAAAAATGCCTATGAGAAGAAGTGCTTTGTAGTTTTTCAAATTTTGAAATATTTACACATATATATTGAGGAAAAAGTATCTCAGGGAAAAGAGCCAAGTCTAAACATAAAATCCAATTGCCTTCCACAGACACAAAGGGTGACAAACATAATTCTCGTCTTGAACACATTCCAGTATTCTCTATTTTCTGAAGTAGTTCTGGAGTCCTTGTTTGTCAATATCTTTATGAAGGATGATAAAAAAATACAAGGAAAGTTGCTGCAAAGTGCCAGTCAACAAGGCAGCCCTGTAAAAACACTACAGTAGTGACCAGGTCTGGCACCATGAAACTCTGGTTCCTAACCAAAATCAAAATGACCATAAAAGGTAAACATTTTTAATTGATTCAGGATGTTCAGGCATCATGACAGATAGGACAACCAAAGATAAAAAAGAGAACTTTCAGAACTGCTTCAGAAACTGGCAAGAACAATGGGATAAGTAAAGGGGATTAATGACAATGTATCTTTCACTGTAACGATTTTATTTAAATATATTTTAAATCATAGCTCATATAAATAACCTTATCTAATTTTATCCATTATCTTTATATCTTCAATCTGACCTTGATCTGATAAATGAAATCAAGAATGGAATTTTCCAACTGTGTCATGTCAGCACTCAAAGGCTTTGGACTGTAAGCATTTAGGATTAGGGAATTTCAGATTAGGAACAGTTAACCTGTATATGCAAAATAGTTCCATTAAAATGAAACATAAATTAGATGAGGCTCCTTCAGGTTTTATCAAATTCAGTCTACTGTTTCACCAAATTCAATCTAAATTTTCAAAAACTTCAAAGAGACTAAAAGTCTTTGGCAATACTGAAGTCACTGATTTGGGAAAATGGAAGCCGAATCGTGACCAGTAAGGACCTCAAAAGTATAAGTGAAGATAAAGACTTCCCTGAATGTTAACTCTATCTTCATTCCCCTCATCTTTCCACGAGGCACAGTATTGTATCTTTAAATAATACAAGTGATCAAAAATTTCAAATCATAGTGCTGATAAGAATTAAGATTTATTCTAACTGGTAGAATCCAGGCTTTGTCAGCCAGTCTCCTCTTACTAATTCCATGGGTTAGATCAGCTAGGTCCCTAAGTAAAATAATCATTTATAGTTTATCTTCCTAGTTGACTTGCCTATAAACTCTACAAAAGCAGTCTGTATACATTTTTTTCATCCTTACATCTTCATTGCCTGGTGTAGTACCAGATACTGAGAATACTATCTGATACTGGCAGCTATGCAAAAACATTTTTCAAACAATACCTGAGTTTTTAGCAGCTCTATCCACCTCTCCTTTTATTCCCCTAAGGGCAACTAAAATTGTCAAGAAATCAATACTAGTATATTCAATAACCAAAAAACTATTCACAACATTATTGGTAATATGTCAGATTGCACTAGAAATAGTTTCTAGAATATTGGGAAATTTGATAATAAAAGTGGGACATAAAAAATGTTTTCAGACAAAATAATGAACCTAACCAGACATTCTTTTAAGGATGCAGAGCCTGGTATATTCTTGAAGATGTCTGGAAGTTAAAGCCTTTAAATTTCAAGATGCTAAAAAAGATCCTACAGTGGATGAATTATTAAGAACAACAGTGATGCAGGCTTTCAATCAAGCAGTAAATTTTTACAGAAGTATGTGTTGTATTTAAAGTGCTTATAAAAAATACTGATATAGGAAAGGAATTTTATAAATAACAAGAACTTCAAAATGATAACTGTTGAGCAAAACATCAGATTTTCAATAATTGCAAAAAGTAATAATACCAACCCATGTAAGGCAACCTAACATCCGTTTTTGAATGTTGACTAAATTTCAAATAAGGTAAAGAACATAGTTATGACTTCAAAATTAAATTACGTTGTAGTTGTCATTTATACTGAATTTTTTCATTGATCAGTTTTCTAGGATTTTCCAACAGCCTCAAAGTGGAAATTTGATTAAGGGTAAAAATGAATACAAACGTGCCTTCAAAGCAGCATCTTCAGCTTCCCGTTTGTGTTTGCTGATGATGTGGTCTAACTCCTTAATTTTAAGTTGAGAATCATTGTTTTCCTCTTTATGTTTCACCACTTCTGCATATTTGGCTTTAATTACACTGTCCTGGGCTGTTATCATTTCTTTTTGCTTGGTTACCTGCTCTTGAGCTTTATTGACTGACTCCTAAAACAAACAAACAAATGGAGAATACATAGTAAAGATATGTGAAAATTTTTATTTTCTGAAAATGACAGACATCTAGGTAAGACGTCAATGTAATTATAAGCAGCTGGTCATCTAACTGGTCACACATTAACATAAATGCATATATAACAAAAGAAAACTTCATTTGTCACTGGGGGGCACATTGCCTAAGATGCAGCATTCACGCTGAAAACAACATTATTATTAGATGTAGTGTAAATGAAACAATTGGGTGAGAGTAGGGATTATTAGCAGCTGACCTGGGAGATCTCTCAGAAAAAATTTTAGGTAGTTAACAAGATAATATGCCTGCATGTCACGCTGGCCCCGCCCCTGGGGAGCACTGAGCTGGCCACTGAGTCTGGGCATAGTGGCATACACCTATAATCCCAGTGCTGGGGAGGCTGAAATCAGGAGGATCACTATGAGTCTGAGCTGTACAGTGAGACCCTGTACCAAATACATAAATGAAAAAAAGAAGCAAAAAAAAAA